AAATGTATGCAAACAATTACCTGTCGTCTTTCACTAAAATCAAACACGTCATTTTAGTGTTTCCTTTTTCATTTGGAAGATATTTTAGAATAATTTTTTTTAAGACTTTCCAATGAAGAATCTATCTGAGTCACCATTTTTTAATCAACATTGTGATCATCGGTATCATCATTACCATAGAAAAATCCTACTGACTTCGGTTTTCACACTCAAAATCAGTTGGTGTTATTAATCAATGATGCTAGTCTTTGTGAAGAGGTTGTGCATCAATCTACAAGGTACATGGCACATTTATAATATTTTTTTATTATAGGATCCATTTTATATAAGTGTTATTTTTGTGTATATATATTTTCTATGTACTGTTGTCTTGTACTTGATAGTCATTCGATCGCTGAGATAGAGATGGTAAAAGTTCATCAATCATTAATGATTTTTATTCGTGATAATTTTTAATGGACATTATAATGAATGATCTTTTGTTGGTGGTCTTTATAGAAGTTATGATGATATGATTGGTTTTTTCTTTCTATATTATAAGAAAATATGTCATATTTACCCAAAATGTGCATAATGTAGAATTCAACATGACCTCAATTTAACATTTTATTTGAAAAATAAATTTTGGCACGTACATTGAACTTGAGAAGGATACATCCTCAAATTCACGAATAATACAATCGATCGATATTTATTATTGTTATAAAGTTTAACCACACCACAAATTTCATTCAAATGAATTTTCTATGATCCCCTTCATTCTTCTCTCATTAAAGAAAAATAAGTCGTATTTATTGAATAGCAATAAAAATATACACCATATTTTAGTGTCTACTTTCTCATTTGGAAGATTGTTTAAGCAAAAAATTTATTGTAAGACGTTTTCTGAATCAACATTGGGATCATAGTCATCATCGTCATCGTAGAAAAATACTGACTTAGGTGCTCTCACTTCAAATCAATTGGTGCTATTGATCTATAATGCTAGTCTTCATGAAGAGGTCATGCATCGCCTCTACAAGGTATATGACACATTTAATTTGTAAACTAATTTATCATATGTCTATTTTATATAAGTGTTAATTTTTGTATATATGTTTGTTATATATTGTTGTCTAGTACTTGATAGTTGTTTGATGAGTGAGATAGAAAGGCAAAAAAGCTCATCGATCATTGATTTTTTCGTGATGTTTTTTAGTGGACATTAGATTTCACAATGAGCGAACTTTTATTAGTGGTCTTTATACAATTTATGATGATATGGTTAGTTTTCTGTTTTTATACTATAAGAAAATATGTCATATTTACCCAAAATAGGTATGACGTACAATTTAATATGACCTTAATTTAACCATGCATTTGAAAATTAGATTTGGACACGTACATTGTACATGTATAATTCAATGCTAACTTGTGCAAAACTTCTAAAAAATTAGAAATAATATTTGAATAATTGTGTGTGATGAATTGGATAAAATTGAAAGGGAAGGATGCATTATCAAATTCATGAATAATACAAATTTCATTCAAATGAAATCTAAGTGATTCCCTTTATTTGTCTCATGCAATATGTTATTAATTCATTGGGAATATTAAAATTCAATGAAAACATGTGTATAATGAGTACGAAAATGCAACAATGTCAAATAAACTTTATGGTAATAATTTATAGAAAATTAAATTAAAGAAGACTAATAGTGAAATAAAAAAATAGACATAGAAGACAAAAATAACATATAAGCATCCTTACTAAGACTTTAATCATAACAGTATATAAATAAAAAAAGAAATACAAAATTGACACGTAATTTTCTATGTTTTTGTCGACACCTTCTCTCTTATCCAATCAAATTCAAAAGTTTTCTCCATCTAGTCAAACTAAAGTATGAATCAAATAGAAAAATCACTTTGTTTTTGTAAAGTGATATATATAATCATATCATATACTTTAGATATTGATGGCTTCACTACTTTAACTATAAAATGAAAAGGATAATTTTAGATGTGAGTTTCATGAAATAAGAAAAAGATGAATTTATATAGATAAAAATAAAGGAATACAAAGAGACATCTTAAAGCTTTAATTTAAATATTATTTGAAGGTTTGAAGGGGAAAAATAGATAAAAAAGAACAACTTTAAGAATATTAAATATATGCAATGAACCTCGATCAAAATTTGAAAGAGTAAACAATCCTCCATTATCACTAATATTTAAACATGTAATTAATTAAATATTTATAATATTTTAATCTAGTATAGGGCAAAATGGTATTTCAATTTTCAACTTTTTTTGTTCTCAATTTTAGTAATAATAAAATAAATATATGATCACTAATATTTAAACATGAAATTAACTAAATATTTATAATATTTTAATCTAGTGTAGGGGCAAAATGATAATGTGCAAGAAGTTGTCAATGCACGCGTAATAAAATTTGCCTTATGAATTTCCGGAAATCATATCAGTGTATTGCAAGTTTTCACCCTTAATGCTATTTATGAGGGAAGAAACTCGAGCTTGTCGTGCTCTTGCTTTGTTTCCGTTCAGTAATATACCATCAAAATAGTGCGTTGAAGCAGCAAAAGAAATAGAAAGATTGAGAAATAGAACCATCTGATGTCATGTGTTCTCAATAGTCACGAGATGATCAATGTACTAGTAAATTGTGCAAGACCTGTTACATTTCGTGATTGTGCTTTATGTTGTAATGTTTTAGTTTGTGGAAATCACTGGAAATCTGTTGTTTATAAATATCACAGTGAAATTCATTAGAGATACACTTCATCTGATGAAATATATGATAAGACCACTGCATTAAAAATGATCTTTAGCGATAATTAATTAGCGGCAATAGCTCAATTCCTACTAAATCTGTATTTTTAGTGGCAATTAGCGATAAGTGTGTGTGCACAAAATGTAATTCTCAAAAACTAACATACTCGGTGAAGATTTTAAATTGTAACTGGTTTTTGATGAAGCTTCTTTCTATATGAGGTCTTCATGAACTGAAATTTTGATCTCTATATGAGTATTCTTCAGGTTATGGCTGATAATTCAGAAACAAGAAAGGACCTCATAAAAGGTAATGTTAGTTCTCGAAACAACACCAATTGAAATGAAATTTATGCCAAACTACTCGTTAAAGTGAATCAAGTTTCTGAAATAATTCTTTATACTGTTGTGTGAGTACCAATTAGGTCTTCTAGTAACTTATCTTTGCAGCTAAAATACCACATTATTTCCATCCATTTGTCAAGCCTTGTGTCAATGACAAGCCTTTGGAGTATGTGAGGATCACTGCCTTGAGGGTTCTTTGTGCCGTAATGATCTTTCAAGATTATCAAAACACTACTTCCATGTCAAGTGCCACCCAATCAAGGGTTGAAATCATTCCACAAGGTGTGGTTTCGAGAATTAATAAGTAGCCAAGTGAAAACCAGTTCAAATCAATCATAGTTAAAAGACATTTATGAATGAAAACATGATTCAAATAATAGGGTGACACAAGTGT